ATGAATGCATTTCTGTTTATTACATTTTGCCACTGGAAGTCTGAATCTGTGGCCAGAAAGAAGAAATGGCAATTCAGACTTGAGTAAGTGGTTTGGACAGCTATAGACCCATGTCATAAATATCAGAGAGCAGTGCTGTGCCTTCACTGTAGATTAGTAGCATGTTTAAGGGTCTACTATCTACTAGACACATTTAATTCAGATGCAGTTCTGCTGCAGGACCACACTGAGTTCCGTCTCAAGTGGTATACAGAGTTTAGCGCTGATTTTTTGTTGCTGGCCTTGGCTGAGGTAATGTGCATACAAGTAAGCTACAGAACCGAAGATAACCAGCACATAGGAAGCCAAGCATTTCTTAAACACTTACGGACTTGAATTGTGGTAGCTGTTACAAGGGATTATTTCTCTAACAATACAGAGTTAACACCTTGCTTTGAATTGCGATCAATTACTGCACTGTTGTACACCTGCGCTGTGCCAGATAGATGGAGTCTGCACACCATTTAGCCAGCTGCTGCGACACATCTTAAGCTCAGATTTAGCTGTGAAAGCAGCTTAAATGGTGGGTTCATGGCAAATTAAAAATACACAGAGAATAATGTAGGCTTAAAATGGTAAATGTAGTTGGGGTTTGTTTGCTATTGATATGGAAAAATGTGCCTCTCTTTCAGATAACTCGCTGTTTGGGTGCAAAATTTCTAATTCTAACTGCAATACAATTTAATTTAAGAAAAAAAGAAAGGTTCAGAAATATGCTAGTAAAAGCAGAGAATGAGTAAACGGATACATGACTCATACCTACATACTCATACATGATCAAAGCTCAATAGCTTCTCATACATGCTGGAAAGATCCGCTGTGTTTTCCTTTAAAGTTGCTTCTTCCTGCTCCATCTAATATATACATTCCTTTCTTGCCACTCATCACAGTCTGCTAAAGCAAAAGAAGCATACTCCTTTATTTGTCATCCAGCAATGTGCACACTGAGTAACATTACTGCTTGATGTACAGCTAAAACAATCTAAAACACTCTCTTTTGTGAGAGTTGTCTTTTGCAGTTTGCTTTCTAACTGTAGAATTCAGCAAGAAATCTCAGCATCCATTGCATACTATCATGATATAATTTTAGCTGGGGTCTCTCCATAAGGCAGGGGTCTGGACAAGCATGCCCTTTGCCCATCCTTTGAGACAGCACTGACCATGTTCTTCGGTGTACCATTGCTGTCTGGGTGCAAACCTGGCAGCTCTGTCTTACTGATTAAATGTCTCAAAATATTATATTGAATAAGTATATTGACTAAGAATGGGTCCCTGGAGGACTAGTGGTTAAGCCACAGCGCTCTCACCGCTGCGGCCTGAGTTCGAGTCCCAGCCAGGGCTCCAACCCGTGCAACAGTGCTTTCTCAGTGCTGGTCCCAACCCAAAGATAAAATTGGGGAGGGTTGCAGAAAACCGTGCCAAATCAAATACGCAGACCACTGATCCGCCATGGTGACCCGTAACAGGAACAGCCAAAAGAGGAACAACATATTGAATAAGAACATTTATATTGAATAAGTTATATTGACTAACTTGGGGTTCGACAGATAGGTGAGAATTAGTTTTTCATCCATTGTCTCAACAAGCTGAATTATATTGGTTGCACTTGAAAAGGCCAGCAACAAACAGGGTCAAAGTTGAATTTGATTAGATGCTCTTTTCATAGAAAAACAATGGCCTTGGTTGGGCAAAGCAATCTTGCTGCTTCTCATCTGCAGACAGTCTGACATTTACTCTGCCTGTCTTATTGGTTGGTGTGTGTGTGTGTGTGTGTGTGTGTGTGTGTGTGTGTGTGTGTGGTTGTCATGAATCCTTCTCCCTTTCTGTGTGAAGCATCCAGCTGTGCACCACATCAAATGAGATTCAACCCCCCACCCCCCCAGTGAACACACTCTCAATCACTGTTGTGTGTTTGAGTGAGTGTATGTTTAAGAGACAGAAACTTCTAAATTGGTCACACACAATTATCTCTTTTCCGTGTGTCTGTTTGGTTTGTGTGAGTGCATTTCATGCCTGTCAAGTTCGGAGAGCGGTGAGAGCCAGCTGCTTCTCTTCCGTTTATTTCATCCTTTAAGATGCAGGTGCACTCAGGGAAGGATATGCATGCACACACAAGCAGTCTGACACACTTTCACTCACACATGTATGCCACTAACTTGGCTCTATATCTTTCCACAGATATAATGCACTCTTTAATCCGTGTCCTCTCACTTTTGTACACACCCACATATATGCACACATACTTCCTCACTGTCAGAGAAGCAGCATGCTGACACCTCGGTTTCTGCGGCAGAAACAGCTGATCAGAGCCCAGTGGGAGAAACTTGCTGCCCTCCAGCCTGATAATTACATTCTAGAGAAGAGAGGAGAGAGAGAGAAAGACGGATAGAAAGGGAGGGGGGGATAAGGAAGGAGACATAAGAAGGATTTTGTGTGTGTGTGTGTGTGTGTGTGTGTGTGTGTGTGTGTGTGTGTGTGCATGCTTGTTGCCAAGGTACATTTTGGCCTAGAACCAAGGTGAGAAAGCGAGAGAGAGAGAGGGATAGATACAAACGCAGAGCTATGTGCAGTCTGGCAAAGAGGGCCAAGAGATATCACGGATGGAGGGAGTGTTTTTACAGCAGGAGGGTGAACTGTGTGTGAGCATATATGCATGTATAAGTGTAAGTGTGGTCTTATTCTGACCTAAAGATAAATGTGTCTGACCAGAATACTAAGCATCTTGCAGTATTCAGGTCATTCTCTTTGCATAAGTGCTAAAAAAAAAACAAAAAAAAAAAACATATTCACTATTTTACATACCGCAGTAGCTAAAAGATACTCGGGTAAAAGCTCTATCACTTACAAAATAACAGCTCAGACTTATGTACTTACATGTACTCATCCACATGTAATTTTTAAAAAAAAATGGGCGGGGGAGTTGGTGTGGATGGTGTGAGGGTTGCTGTCATAATCATGTAGACAGCTGAAACGATTTCCTTCCTCACCAGTTATTCTTCGGTTTTTCATTTTGAATAGTTTTGATTTAAATGAAGTCAGATGTAATTAAAGCTTCATTTATAAATATAGTTGAGCCACATTTCCATCCAGAGAATGAATAAAATCATGTCTGGCATGCTTTAGTGTCTGCATTGGTATTATGTAATTCTGTTATGTAATAACCTCAAAAAACCATGCAGTTGTGCTGCTTTCTGAATCAAAGAAAAGCATGAGGGGGTGGTAATGTAATTTTATCATACAGCTATATGTTTGGGTTTTTTTTTTATTCACTGCAATCTGCCATCTAAACTTTTGTCTTCCTGCAGGATTTGTTTTTATTTAACTCATCCAGCATAATTCAGCCAAATCCCAACAGCTTCCTGTTCACTGTACTATATATAGGATATAACATATTAACATTCTGTAATTTACCTAGTGCACAATATACCCCTTATAATGCCATTTGGGATTCATTCAGAGGGGAAGTTGAGTAACAGTGCTAATGTAACACATAACCACCTCTGACAACAATACTGATGTGATGATACAAAAGTATTAGTGTCTTTGATAAGGTTCTTATACTGTAAATGAAAGTCTATGTAGTTACTTATTTACTCTGTCTTTCTGTGCTTTTAAGAATAAAACTTAATCCATCACACATTATGTATGCTGACTTTATCGTACGTGATAATTTTATTTTAAATTTAAATTTTAGGAGGACCAGCAGATGGACGCCTCTTACCAGGTGATCAAGTATTGAAAGTGAATAACAAAGCCATTGACGACTTGTCTCCTGAATATGTAGACAACATGATTAGGTAAAAATGTATTCGTCTGTCTCTCATGCTGCATTCCAACGTGCATTTTTTTCCCTTACAAGTTGAAATGAATGTCACATACAGCAAAAGAGCAGTCACTTCTAGCATAAGGTAAATAGGTTTTCTTTCTGGAATCAAGAACCATCCTTGGCATTATGCATGGTCAGTTTCCTTCAAACTACAGTATACACAGCTTGCTAACTTGCTAGTAAAGTAATAATGTTAACTTTTTTTGTTGAAATTGAGTAGTTGGCTACATAAAACCTAATCTGTAAGATATATTTGGGAAATACTAAGTATTTATAGCTCCTGCCTACACTTCTGAACAGCTTGTCTTACCATTTTTTTCAATGGTTTGAAAAGGAAATTGCATCTGTGCATTCTGAAGCCTACAGTTGTACTGACTTCTTAAGTCCTCCATGGGCTTTTTTAACCAACCTCACTTCATAGTTAATAAAGTATACAAATGCTACACTCTTAGAACTGGGACATCTGGGAAAGATCAAGGGAATCCCTGGAATATATGATATATGATGGGTTCTATATCTGTGGGATATATAATTGGGTTGTAATGTCATATGACATAAAATAGACTACTTTGACTGTATAAATGTTAGTTTGATATAGTGATTTTTTTTTTTTTACTCATTCTCCGACCCTGTATGTAAACAGTCAGTATAGCCATGTACACTGTATTGGCGCTAAAGATTCTAAAGACTGTACAAAACAAGCTAATTTTCTCAGTATGAGGTTTTAACAACGCAATTATCCTATGAGCTGGATTTATAATGCTGTTCATGTATTTAAAGTACTATCTATTCACAAAAGCCTTTGAACATGCCATTCAGGAATACTGGCATATTCCTACCACAGAATCAGCTGAACCAGCTTTAAGCCTTTAAACACCACTATTAACCGTGACTTATACTACCATTCAAAAGTTTTAGCACACCCTGTATTAACTTTATTTACTAAACCTCAAGAAAGAGCTAAAAAAAAATTAATTAATGAATTAATTAAAATCTACATCTAACTGGAAAATGGAGCTGGATCACTAATATAGCACACAACACGCAACTTATATCTGTCTTACAAACACTAACTAATATCAGCTGTAAGACAATTCTAGGCTTACAGTAACTTATAGTCTTATAGTAACTAGGGTCCCTGTAGGACTAGTGGTTAGGCCACAGCGCTCACACAGCAGTGGCCCGGGTTCGATCCCTGACCAGGGAACCAACCCCAGTGGCTCTGAAGCCCAGATAAAATTGGGGAGGGTAAAAACTGTGCCAAATCAAATACTCAGACCAGTGACCTGCTGTGGCGACCCCTAATGGGAGCAACTGAAAGAGGAAAAACAACAACAACAATATAATCTTATGGTAACTACTTCACCAAACAAGTGCACTTAATAAAGCACTAATATAAAGTCACATTACAATCTGAGAATGGAAAACAAACAAGCCCTTAAATACAAATATTTAGGTATTTGATGGAACACTTTTTTTTCCTTGTCATACAGCTCTGATGCAATTGGGTTACAACCTCATATGCTCTTTTCCTAGGCAGTGCCAGGATTCTGTAACCGTGACAGTCCTCAGAAACATGTTGGTGAGTACACGGCAACTGTGCTTATATAGAATATGACATTGTAGAATCTCCTGCATTTTGGTAACAAGGGTGTGTGGGTGTTTCTTTTTTTTTTTTTTTTTTCCCCTTTCCCCAGAACCCCAAGTCCTCATTTATGTCAGCAGAAAAGAGAGCTCGCCTGAGACGAAATCCGGTTAAAGTGCGCTTTGCCGAGGAAGTATTAGTCAACGGACACACTCAGGTTCAGCCACCATGCGCATATACGCATACACACACACACACACACACACACACACACACACACACACACACACACACAAAAACATGCACAGCCTTCAACATTTCATTCACATACATTTTTTTAAATCTTTTTTTCTTCTTTTTAAAATTTAAAATTTAAAAAAATCTGAAACTCAAACCAGTCATATGTGTTCCCAGGGAAACTCCCTTCTCTTCCTGCCCAATGTGCTTAAGGTCTACCTGGAGAATGGGCAAACCAAAGCCTTCAAATTTGATAAGACCACCACAGTGAAGGTTTGTCCTCAGCATTTCTACCTCATTCCCTATTCTTATTACTAAGCAAACTGACCCCATTATACTGCACAAAGTAATCATTTTATGTTGATCATGCTACACAGATATACTGTCCAAACGTATATTGTTCGTGTGTGTGTATGCAGGACATTGTGCTGACTTTAAAGGACAAGCTGTCAATTCGATCTATTGAATATTTCTCCCTGGTGCTGGAGCAGCAATACAGCATCACCAAACTCCTGTTACTGCATGAAGATGAGCTCATACAAAAGGTGACTCTTAACATCTCTCTTCCTTTTTCTTCCTTGCAAAGGTGCTCAGTTTTAACAGTCAAGTTCACACATGTAAAGTAGCAAATGGAAGAAATTAATTAATTACCATGTTAATCTCTCAGGTGGTCCAGAAGAAGGACTCGCACGATTACAGATGTCTGTTCCGAGTGTGTTTTATCCCCCGAGATCCAGTGGACCTGCTTCATGATGACCCAGTCGCCTTTGAGTACCTCTTTCACCAGGTATCTATGTGCAATTTTAATTAATTGCTGTAACGTCATGCATTTGAAACATCGGGTACAATTTCTTGTGGTTCAAGATGCAGTATGAGGATTTGTGCGCGTTTGCTTGTGCGTGCGCTTGTACGTGTGCTTGTAGAGTGTTGGGGATGTGCTGCAGGAGCGGTTTGCAGTAGAGATGAAATGTAACACTGCTTTGAGGCTAGCAGCACTGCATATGCATGAAAGGTTGGCCAGCTGTGGACAAACTACCAGAGCATCTATCAAGAATATTACGTAAGTCTCTCACACTGGCACATACGTATACTCATACACTTGCAACTCAAATGTACATCACTTAACAATTAAATAGTAGCTGTATTCCATTCTGGAGGCAGTTGCCCTTGAACCTAGGCGGGCATTGTGTTTGGGACACTCTTCATAGTCATCAGTGCATCGTAACTGTTGCACACTAGTTTACCTGCTTACCTGATGATTGATCCTGAAGTATTGGCAGCTACACTTTCTGCCTTTTAACACAATTCAACTACTGTTTGCTGAATAACCTAATAGCATATCTGCCTGCCAGCCAAATTGACATTATGATAGTTAAATAGCAAAGTGTTTGTGTGCATGTCTGTGTTTGTGTCATTTTCAGTAAGGAGTTTGGATTGGAGAGTTTTATTTCACCCACATTACTGAGGAACATGAGAGAAAAAGATCTGCGGAAAGCTCTCACAGGTCATATGAAGAAAATCCAGTCACTGCTTGAACCACGTCAAAAAGTAAGTTTTGTGTTTTTGTGTGGACTAAGGCTGGAAAATATTACAATATAAGATCTATATTGTAATAGATTATGTCACAATACTCAAAGAATATTGTATATATCACAATGACTTTATATACCACTTTTCTATAACAATATACTAACTGAAAGCAGCTGATTTTGCTTTGTACTGTTTTGAATCTTTAAAATGTTTTGTAAACATTTGAATGTTTAAAATTGGAGAATATTAACATTTTTACAAATTTACTTATTCATTTTAATTAAGTAATTTATTACTTGTAATTATAGTTTAAATAAAATTATTAACTAAGTTTTAACATTTCCTATTGCAACACTTCTGTTTTTCTGGTTGTTTGTTAGCAAACCTATATATATATATATATATATATATATAACAGAGATGTTTAACACAATGCAGTGTTAATTAAGAAAGAAAGATTTTGATAGACATGACAGTAAATGCAGCATATGGGATTCTGTGGAAAACTCAGAAATAGAAGATGGGGTGTGATGGTGTATGTGTTTTTGTGATGCTAACCATGATGCCTTTACTCTCCCTTTTATTCTTTCTTTCTGTCCCTTCTTACTTTGTCTCTTTTTCCCCTCTCTCTCAGGTAATCTCAGTGCCTCAGGCCAGGTTAGCATATCTAACTCAGATGGCAGAACTGATATCATATAGTGGGAGAACCTACAGTGCCACCATGCTGGTGAGATCACCTTGTTACTTCCTGACGAAAGAGTAAATGAAACCTACTGGAGTTTTATTTCTCTTCTAACTTTCACAAACCTATTGGGTAGAGTTTATTTTGTGGGATAAAATAATAATTTAATAAGGGACAAGGTCCTAATTCTTATTTTGAGATTCTTAGTAGTATACTTCGGTTTTACTTGGCAGACATTCAGTGTGTGAGCAAGGATGATAGGTGTGTATTTATGTATGTGTATCTCAGCTGCAGGACCGGGAGTCGTTGGTGAGTTTGTTGGTGGGAGCACGATTTGGTGTCAGTCAGATACTAAACCACAAGCTGAACATGATCTCGACTATTATAGACTTCCATTATATCAGCCGTGTAGAAGTACTCTCTGAGTCTGACAGGGTCAGCATGCTAAAGATCTACCTACATGATATCCAGGTGGGTACACAGATGGGGTTCTTACAGAATCATAACAAAAATGTCAAGTAGATTTAAGGTATATGCAAACAATTTGAACTAGAAAATATTTCTTCACATTTCTTCGGTTTTCCTTTTATATTCCATATTTAGGGATTTATGAATTTATCTCACATATTCAATTATCCTGTTAGAACAAGTTGTCATACCATACACACAGTTTTACAGTATGTCTGTTTTTTTCTCTCTTTCACTCTCTGTGTACAGCCCCTGGCCTTGCTAATGGATTCTGTAGCCGCTAAGGACTTGGCATGTCTGCTGGCAGGCTATTGCAAATTGTTAGTGGATCCCAATATGAACGTGTTCCGCTGGGGCCCTCGCCCCAAAATACGTCGTATACCTTTAGAAGAAGGTAAAAGATAAAGGCAGAGATTTCAAGAATTACATCTGTTTCTTACGCTTTAAGTATTTGGTTGTTAATGTTATAATATAATTCCTTAGGCTTTGGATTCCGCTGTGGCAGTGACTCAGAGGAGAGCTCAGATGAGGACTACTCCATGGACAACCTGCTTGACACACCAGTCTCTGAGGACACTGTCTCAACTCAAACAAACGAAGACCGGGATGACGAGAAGGATGAAGCAAACACAGTAAGGGTGATTGTGACCCAGACAGAAGAAGAGGAGAAGGGAGTAGAAGGTGCTCTAGAAGGAACAAGTACAAGTGGCTCTATTGAGGATGAGGACTATGCAGCAAGAGAAGATGCACTTCTGGAAACAGGATGGTACACAGACCCAAGAGTAAACAGCAGCTTTTCTAGTCTGTCCAGCAACTCGCTTAACACTCTTGAGGAGATTAGCAAAGTATCCACCACATGGCCTGCTTGTTTGGACACTTTTCAGGAGGAGATGCCCAAATCAGACCAGGCTACTGGGGCCTCTAGCCTGGATGTCCACCATCCTTACCTTCTAGAGATCCCTGAACACCTGAACCAGAAAGAAAAATCAAACCCTCCTTCTGACTTGCTCTATGATAAGCACAGTGGCTTGCGGTACAGTGACCTCTCCCAAATGTCTGACTCCCTTCCAAGCCCACCTGAAGCAAGTGATGATGCTCTGAGTGATTTGGAAGAGATTAATAAAGATGAAAACAAAAATTATAGACCTGCAGACATTGATGCTGTATTGGCTTCGGGTAGTAGTAATAGCATAAAATCTACAGTAGCTGGCTTCAATGTCCAAGCACTTTTAGCAAGGATCCGTAGCCATCCAGCATGTAAGAAAGATTTGAGAAATTCTAACCTCCACCAGAAAGAGGAAGCAAAGTCTAAAGCGCCTTTGTCCAGACCAAAAGTTCAACCTCCACCTCCACCACCAAGAAAAATATCCAGAGTTTCTGAAATAGCAAAGGACGCCAGAAACAGTGGATCAGAATCAGAAGATGAGTTCTTTGATGCACAGGATCGTCTCACTCCACCATTCTTAGAACAACCTGCAGGTCAGTGAGCTTTTCCTAAAAGTAGTGTAAATCATCTTTATAATTTGTGTCTTAAATTATGTGTATTTTTTCTAGCAATCATGTTCTAGCATTTATCCCTTCTATGTTTCTTTTTCCTGTTTCTTCCAGAGAAGAAAATAAATGTGAATGGAATGGAACATGCTCTGAAACAGACTGATTCAAAGGTCAGTGGGGAGGAACCAGCAGCATCCAAGATGCAGAGTCA